TATTCTCGCCTCTGGCCGAGTTTAATCTTACCGACGAAGTTCGCGCGCCTCGAGCGAAGTGTCGAAGCTATTTCGAAGAAGTCGTCCCTGCAGGTGTGGATGTCTGCGTATCTGCTTGGGTTCCCTGTGGACCGGTCACGATTCAAAAAAGGTACTTTGAAAGAAGGCGAGCAGTACCGGGAAGGCCTTAGTCACACGAGAACAACACCTTACATCAATAAAGATTTTCTGGCTATTGAAAGGGTGACACATAAAGGGCGTGAATCGATTTCGGGTTTATTGACTCATTTAAACATTAATGTAAAAAAGACGGCATAACACGTACGCTTAAATAAAAAAATACCCATGTTTATGTTGCAAGAACTAATTGGAGATTGACTCCCCTCCCCCCCCCCCCTCCTTTTTTTTACAATTGTAAATTGTTGTAAGCAGTGAGAGAGTGCAGGCGAGCTGGTAATTAATCGACATCTTGTAAACCCTGAGATGGGGAACGATGTGTGTCCGTCCGTTTTTTTTTTTTTTTTTTTTTATCCTTCCCCATTTACAAGATGTAAATTGTAAATTTTTGATAATCGTCACTCTAGAAAATGCTGTTTTGCATTAATTACAAAAAAAAAAAAATCACGTCACCACACATATACATACATTGAGACGCTCTTTAGTCATTGATTCAGTTCGAGAAAGGTACGATGTGGTTTATTGTGTTTAAATGCTTTTCGTCATTCGTTCTTCGTCGTTGTAATGCATTACTTTCATTGGCTGCAAAAAGACGCTAATTAAAATGGTCGGGGACCCTCCACGCTCAGGATTTCTTAGCTGTCCGCGCCACTAGAGAACACTACAATCGTCACCAGATGTATGTTGACTGATCGGCGTGAGTCAGTCGTCTCGCAGCCGATAGGAGACCGACAACAAATTGACATCCTCCGCAATGAGGTATATTTGAAGTCGTCATTACGGGCGGTAAAGGGGAAGGGAGGACCATACTTTAATCAACTTTCGAGGCACCCAGTTGGTGAAGAAAATTTGGCGTTTTTTAACAATTATATTAACACACACACACACACAGACACACACACACACACACACAAAAGAGCGCCTCTCCTCAGTAGTCTTTTGGAACATCAAACTTTTTGCGATAGACCCTTTTTTTTCAAAATTTCATGGGGAAACATTGTCGATCGTCATTTTTTGTGCACGAGGCGTCTGATTGGATTTGAGTCATCGCCGAACGATGACGTCACTCTTTTTCGACACGAGGCTGAGCCGAGTTCACTCCGAGCGCTCACGCAGCCCTCGAGTACCAAAACAATGACGAACTCGCACGATTGGCGCAGCGGCCCCTAGGTGGCGCGCACTTTCAAAGAGGGTCAATAGTGCTCTACTAACTAGTCCAGGACTATAGTGTGTTACACCAAGCTTACGTTGCTGAACCACAAGACCACGCAGAGAGCGAGAAAATAAACGTCTTGGAACAAAACCCGGGAGAACCAAACGCCTTCCGCGTAAGCACACGTCGGTCGGCGGTGGCGGCGGCGCGCCCCGATCCCCGGGGATAATTGCTCAAAGCTGTGAAGGAAGAGAAAATTAATTAGGGTCAAGTGGAGCACCGCTGCAGGCGCTCAAGTCGAGGCGTGAGCGAGGCCCGGTGGCGCCAAGCCAATGCCAGATCGGAGCGTCAGTCCAAATGGCTCCCGGGAGAACAGAGCTCGCCCGCCGCTGATCCGGTTACTGGATTTGAATTCTACACGCAGGGCACAATGGAGCGCGCCACAGAACGTTAGCGCGCGTGCTTGACGCGCAGCAACGAGTTCGATATCTGCCGGCTCGCACGACCATCGAGAAGGAAGCGCCGGTCGAATACACACACACACATACACACACACGCACGCACGCACGCACGCACGCACACACACATACACACACACGCGCACGCACAGGCACACACAAAATAAAGGAACAACACAAGCATATAATTTTAACGAAGTTTTCTTGCGATTTCCGTACACTAAATAGCCTTGTTTTTTTTTGTTTTGCTTGTTTGTATGTATGTTTCTTTCTTTCGTTCTTGCTTTCTTTCTTTCTTTCTTTAATAGCATAGTTTCGCTTATTCGAAATTTTGTCCAATTGTTGTCTGGTTTTGTCTGAAAGTTTGACTAGGACCGCGAGCTACTGGGACATTCATGCTTCGAATGAAGGGTGTGAACCAAATTATGGAGTAAAGAGAGAGATGAGGTTTGTTGATATACATACACGAAAATGTCAACCTGCATTTATAGCTGATTTGCTACTTCGCCAAGAAAAGAAGGAGAGGAGTAGGGTTGGGGACCCGATAGAACAGAAGGGAGAGAATCGAAAAGGAAAGAGGTTATAAAACAAAACAAAAGCAAGATATACACTATTTACACAAACATTTAGAGTACTTTGAATGAACGAGGATTAGAAAGAAAAATATTCGGTCCTTTTGTGGGCCGTATGTCCCTCCTGAAATAAATAAATAAATATATAAGAATGAAATAACCCTTAGTGAAAGCAGCAACAAATATATATATATGCCGTACACACAGTGTACGGCACTAGGAAAATGCAATCACACACAAGAAAAAGCAGTGAGTTCAGTTCATTTCACAGTTTGTCTTTTAAACCAGTGTCTCGGAGAAATAGTGGGAGGGCACTGATGGCCGTGTTTTGATTATGGGCTGATGTCTGAGGGCCTAATATATGAGTAATTTCAATAAATTCATCGTGTTTTATATTCACGGCTTGCATCAGTGTTTCTCTTTGTGATAAGTATTGTCAACTGCATAAAATATGTTTGATGACACGAAGTACTGAACATACTGGGCATGTGAGTGAGCAAATTCGACCAATCCTACGAAGATTTCTCATTGTGTGTGACACAGCGAGGCGTAGCCGGCGTATCACAGTTCTATCTCCTCTATTCAAGTTTCTCGGAATTCGAAATGTCATATCTGGATCAATATTTTTCAGGTATGCGTAATAATGGCATGGGTCTCTCCAAAACGCGGATGGAATACATTTTAAAATCTTTCCGATTATGTAGTTGGAGAATAAAGCAGGAAAAGAGGAAAGTTTCAAAGTAGAAGAAAAATGAACAGTCGAGGACACGTCTCTACACGTCTCTAGAGACGTGTCCTCGACTGTTCATTTTTCTTCTACTTTGAAACTTTCCTCTTTTCCTGCCTCAGTCTCGGGCTAAGAACAAAATGGTTAACATCCACCAGCTCGCCTGCGCAATCACTACATTATCATGTAGTTGGAATTTGATCTTGATAGAGGAATTTCGAGGTCGACTTCATCCGCTTCGGCCTCCCTAGCAGCCCATATATCTGCATAGGTGTTCCCCCGTGTATACCGATATGACCAGAAATTCACTGTAACGCAACGTTATATGTGGCAAAGTTGTAGAATTTCATGGCTCAATTAAAAATTTGGGCCATTCTTTATACATACATATTTAACAGAGCGTTTAGAGCAGATTTAGAGTCCACTTGGGACTATCCAGCTTTGGGGATTTTGAGCATTGATGCAGTTCGCAGTTACACAAACTATGGAATAGCTTGGCGCGCGGCATACGAAGCATTGACGTGCCGAGGACTGTCACTTGTACCTTGGCGTAACGCAGTATCAAGCGGAGGGTTCAGCTAGCACTTTTAACTGACAGCTAGCGCTTGTAGCTGACAGTTAGCTTGTAATTGACAGTTGTATCTTGGCGTAACGCAGTACCAAGCAGAGGGTTCAGCTAGCGCTTTTAACTGACAGCTAGCGCTTGTAGCTGACAGCTAGCTTGTAATTGACAGTTGTACCTTGGCGTAACGCAGTACCAAGCAGAGGGTTCAGCTAGCGCTATCGCATAAGAGCGGTTAATGGCTCGGGAGCTCCCGCTGTGACTTTAAAGCACGCTTACACCCTCACCGCAAAATCAGTATTTCAGAAAAAGAACAAAACGTAAAGAGGCAATCGTACCTCCCGTATTTTGCTATCTACGAATATAAGTTGCTTGTAACCTTTCTTCGTTCTTTGATTCTTGCACACTCGAAACGTGCTGGCGAAACAAATCACCGCGGCGGTCGTCATATAAACGATCTTTTTTTATTTTTAGCGCGTCACTGCCTTTGTGGTTTTGTAGTGAAAATGCTGTTTTGAAAAGTCTATCAAGCAACACTGACGGCCGCCATATTTTTGGGCATCGCTTTCTGCGCGAAGCGTGCGATTGGATCCGAATTTACGCCGAGTAATGACGCGCCACTCGCGTCGAATGATGCGCACCCGAGTACAGACCGAGCGCTCGCAGAGTTCGTGTCCTCCAGTACATGCTCGAGCTGGGATCCCAAGACATGGTGGCCTAGGAGCAGATACTAGAAAACACACACTTAAAAAAAAGGGGTCTAATGCTGCTAAACAAGGGGTTTTTAGTTTATTTTTCAGTCACGCTAAACCGTGGTTAGTGTTGCCCGTGTAAAACCCCATTTACACGGGCACCGTTAGCAGCAGTTCAGTGCTACTGAAGTCAGATTTGTGTACGTTTAAAGACTGGTTCACACACCCCCGTTTTCTTACGTTAAGTTACGTTACGAAATATTACGTTGAAGTCACCGGGTCCTCACTGTTTCCTATTAATGGAGGCTGCCAGTTAAAGCACAAAGCATGACGTACGACATTCGAGACACGATTGCTTCGGTGACTTATACGTAACGTAAAGTAAGAAAATGGGACAGCGTGAATGAGCCTTATGTGTGCCCGTGTCCTTGCGGTACCCTATGCCCCATAGGGCATAGGGTACCACAAGCTCTACTGGGACATCTTGCGAACATTGGAACGGCCTGTACCCGATGGCAAAATTAGTGAATCTCCAGGCGCCTCGTAATTTCACGCGTGAAATGGTGTCGACCTAAGCTTAGCATCGTTCGGTCTCGAGTGGCGTCTCCCGGCGATCGATGTGAAAGCACTAACTCCCGTGGTCCCGTGCCCCGTCCCAGGAGGACCTGCTGATCCACGGGGACAGCGTGTACGACATCATCGAGAAGCAGGACCACCAGGCCATCCAGGCCGAGCTCATGCGCAGCCCGAACCCGCTGAGTCTGGCCCCGGACGCCCGGCTCTTCCTCTGCCGCATGAACGTCTCCAGGAACGCCAGGCGGCAGATGCGCTTCGGAGACCAGAAGGTACGCCTTCTCTCCCTGCCTATGAAGACGAAATACGCAGAAGGGCATGCAGAGGACGCGGCTCGAAAATACCGTGTCGTCTGTATTGTCCTTTATGTCCCTCTTTCTCGTTTACGTATTTAGTCACCGACTCGCTCGAGCATTCTAATTTGTTCCCTGCTTCTATGTCGAATTCTATGCTTTCCCGAATTATTTTCGTCCGTTACGAGTATATGCCTTTTCAAAGCGTATGACTTTCGCACAAAATGACGAGTGATTGGGTTCTAAAGATACGCTCAGCGTCTCGCATTCCACAAATGAGCGGTATACTGCGCGTGCCCTAAACGCGTTCCACGGTTCAGTAGACGATGACGGCAGCACGCGGAATGGCATTATTGAAATGGTCTCATATATAATAAAAGGACCGTAACACAAATTTTGGGCTGTGATAAATTATTTTAGACTGGAATTTTACTAATCGCAAATCGTTTAGTGGGGCAAAAGAAAACTAAGTACACGAAGCCAGAAAGACAGATGCCTCGCTTTTTCGTGCGAAAGTTTGAAAGTATAGCGAACTTTTTTGGACCTCCTTTTCTTCCAAAGCTCTCCGCCCTTTTCACTGTGATCCATTTGCAGTGCCCAAAGCACGTCAGTCGAAACCAGCTCACGCGGTGGACACGAGCGCAATGCGTCGCTCGGACGGATGCGCTCGTCAACACTCGATTTGTCGACGAATATTTGGATTCGCGATCGCGGCCGATGAGCGCCGTAACGGCACTTAATATTATCGTCACTTGCAAACGACAATTGTTCCATGGTGTGCTTAGAACATCACGGTGGAAGCTCGGAGTCATCCGCTCCAGGTAAAATACTACGTCAGGACCACGTGATTTCTCATTTCGCTTTTGAGTTGAGGAGGAAAGCTAAGGAGGAAGAAGTTTAAAGATCGCCTTCATGGTCCCTTTAACAAATACCGATCACTACTGCGTGATGCACGTTAGAGACCCCAGGCTAGCGGTTGTACTTCACTGGCTAAATTGCTCATCTACAGCTGGGAGACGCATCGCCCGTTGAGGCAGACTAAGTTCTAGGCTGTATAAACCTACACACAACCGATTTTTTTTTTTTGTAACAAATACCGACGTACCACTTTGGTTTTCTGCGAGGAAGATGGTCCTCTCGGCGTACTTTTCTCCGAACCCGTGAGAGTAGTGAAAGAGCTGAAAAGGGGATTAACGCGGGGCATAGGGAGACAAGCAACGCGCCTCATAAATGACAAGGCCTATAGTGCGGGATCTACTACGTCACACCTCGGAGGCCAGTACAAGGTACACGCTAGACACGAGTACTGCGACAGCGTTAGGCTTGGGGCTCGTATTTAATCAGTGAAGACACGAGTTCCAGCTGAACGCAGACGCAGGGCAGTGCCCACGTTCAATGTGTACCTGGCAACGGCCTCCAATAGATGACGTGGAAGATCCAGAAGTACAGCCTTGTTATGATGTCGGGACAAAGGTTCCGCACTCTGTCCGAGATTAGAAGCTTTTCTGAGAGGAAAGATGAAAGATAAGAAGTAAACAACAAAAATGCAAAGCGTACGACATGCACTGGGCGACCCGATAGTGCAAAAAACGACATCAGTCTTTTTCTTTCACTGTTATTTTGAAAGGGTATTGCAGGCACCAAATGCTGCCGTTTAGGTTACTGCACTAATGAGCACTTTTCAGCACCACGGTAGTTTTGATGACAGCGCCTATATTTTAGAAAAAAAGGGGAATAAAAAAAAAAAACACCGCCGATCGCTTGTTTCAGCTAAAAGTGTCGCGCACAGTATGTCGTGTTTAAAAAAAACTATCTCATTGGTGGGCAAAGTCACCTCATTGAATACAGGATATGTGTTACCCAACCCTTCTGATTAAAAAAAAATGGTAAGCTGCAGAGAGTTGGTTTTAGCGCATTGCATGTAAGCTGAGTGGTGAAGCAATGTTTAAGTAGCTCCAACATAGTGTGAAATAGCTCGTGCCTGCATCTAATATTTTATGCGATTGAAATAGCGACACATTGCTCAAAAATAGTCAGCGTATTTATGCACCCTAATAAATAGCAATCAACCACTACACGTGATTTTTTTTATGAAGCGTATTTTTGTTTGATTGTGATAGAGGACATAAAATCCAGTGCACAGGCATTGTGTTGAGTCAGCACCGAGCTGTGTGGAAGACGAGATGTACAAAGCGCCCATTATAGTTCGAACTCCTCACCAATTCCTGTTCTTAATCCCGTTAAAGTTGCTTCAAGTGCAAGGACCAGCACTCAGCACCAGAGCCTTCGAATGCTCTAACCTCTCGCCCCTAGTTTTGCCCTGAATCTTTTAGTCCCACCTTAGTTATTCTAATCTTGTCATCGTCATCGTTCGGATTGTAATAATCAAATTGATGATGATAAACACCGAGACGTTGATAGGGCAAAAACATTATCCCAGCCCAATTTTTTTTTTTTATTACCGCCAGGAGGTAATGCTTAGTAGCCCCGATACCCGCACTTTCCCATCGCATGACCTTGATCGCTCCAATCCTTCATCGCGTTTTAAAGATGATCGACTTCGCATTTCTTCTTGAATAAAATAATTAATAATTGGATCGATTGATCGATGTACGCTGCCTTCATCGTCTGCAACAAGCACCCGAAGCTATTCAAGCAAAAACACGTATAGCCATATACCGCGAACCATACATTTTGATAACGGTGTCTCAATCTTGCCGCTCGATTTAAAAACAAAACAACATAATTAGAAAACATAAATGATTACTTGACCAAGCATAATTGCCGAGTGAGATTTTTTTTTTTTTCCTCTGTACTTCTTGTCCGAGATTCTTTATATGAAGCAAACGCAAAACACGGCTCACTAAAACGGCCTGACATCCACGCCCCCAGTAAGAAAACTATGGACAAATCATTTTCAATATTTGTTTATTCATTTAATCTCCGTAAAGCTTACATCGCTACGGGCTTTAGCTGGGCTAGTTGTTTCGTGCTGGTTAATGTGGAAAGCTGAATTTTGACAGTACACGATGGGACGGACGAAGACGCCGCTGTTTCGGTACTGGAATGGAGAGATGGGCTAGTTGATACGTGATTATTTAAACAAAATGTTTCAATACCTAGATTCATTGCTTTTTAGTCAAATCTTTTGTCAAAATTCAGCTGTCCCCATTAACGCTTCAATCGGGAGCCAGTTAGAGTGAGGGTCAGCGTCGTCCCGACCGCGCCAAAACCGACGAGACATCCGACCTAATTCGATCCCTCCAAAACGGTTCCTCAACGTCCATCGCAAAGATTAAACTAGACACGCGCCGTCCTGGGCCGCGCAAGTGAGGCTCCCTCAGCTCGCTTCCACTTAGGGCCCGTGTACGCTTCGAGAAACCAGACGCGGCCCCCCTAGGAATCCGCGATGACCGACAACCCGCTAACCACTAGCTACCATCGCCACAAAAACGTTAATCTGCTAAACTCCGCTCAACTCTACAAGCTGACAGTGCCTTTGGAAGCTATACGTCCTCCTTGGACCGGTCCCGCGTCTATTCCTCGGCACGGGATTACGCTCCCACCCGTGCTCACCCTCCCAGAGCGAAGTCACATGATGAAAAGGAGGCGTTTGATTGGTCCGGCGCTTGCCGCACTGTCACCTTTAAAGGGTGAACGGACCGTGCAATGCCTCGGGTGTCTCCCGTGAGTCAAGACTTGAGGGAGCAAGAAGACGCCCGAGTGCTCTGGGCGACGTGTATGGGCCGTCGATCATGCAGCCGCCCGGCACCGATGGAAGACGGTTCCTCCGGGTTATTAGCATTGCCCGACTCCGTCTTTCCTCGGCAGCCGGGGAAAAAGTGCCGTCTTCGTTTTCTCTCTTCTCGCTCTCGTCTTTTTCTCTCGCTCTTACAACGAGAAAGCTCTAAGGTCAGACGGCCGCCAGTCTGTATACTATCCACCAGTATGGTCGATGGCACACAATGGTGGCTGTGTTCAATTAAAGAATATTGTTTTCTCGTTTTCGTTTTATTTTTATCGCCCTGCTCGTTGGTTTTTTTGTTTTTTTTTTTTCCTTATTACCGAGTCATTCTGAGGACCCGTCGACCACCCCGAAAAAATCGCATGCATTCGCTTCTCTGAGAAGAATACAGACGACTCGGCTTATAGCGACATCGCGTGCAGTCACACTGTGTTTATAGTAACACTGAAACTCTTGACGGATTTGACACAGGGGCATTGCACCACGACGTACCGAACCATTTCGCCGTAAAATAAATATGCTGGCTTTTTTTTTTTTTTGGATACTAAACTGCACTAGTTTTTGAGTCTTTTACGCTGGTTGTGTACAGGAGATCAACCTTTTGGCGATGCGGCTTCCCGTAAGAACGACAATGTGCAGGGTGTTCGTAGGAAAACGTTGCCCCGTTTCTGCGTACAGCGTACAGCGTGAAGAATAAACACTCCGCACAAATCTGAAGTTACGCCTCAAGGTCCCTAGCCGTGCGATCATGGTATATGGTTTGAGGACAGGTCTATACCTGTATGAAAAGAGCGAACTTAAAATAAATGAAAAATATTTTTCAATACTATGCATGTCCAAGCTATGTCCAAGAGACGAACAGTGTCTGTTTGTCTGCTAGCTAATGACATGTTCCCATTGAACTTAGTAAAACGAATTCGGTTGCAACTTTTGATCAAAGCTAACGTTGTGCCTTGCAACTTCCGTATCTTGCCAGCCATCTGCGACATCGGTCTCTTTGGGAAGTGCCTAAAGCGGCTAAAGCAATGCCCAATAGTTTCGCATGCCTACGATTCCGGCCACTTATAATGCCATTTCAGCCGCCCTGCATGTTCGACGTGACTATAAGCGGAGCGTACCTTATTGTGTTCGACGTCGAAACGGAAACCGAACGAGAATGGGGCTCGGCGTAATCGACGAGGCGCGCGGGAGGGCATGCCTGGTATGTCCTGAAGATGGCTCTTCCCCTGTTTATTGACACACGAGGAGGTTAGGGGGCGCGACGGAGAGAAGGGGACCGATTTGTGCCTCGAAATTGAGATCCTTTTGTTGTCGGCGCTGGGAACGAAACAATTTCCCCTTCCTTTTGGTCGCTTCGCATACGCACGTGGGATGAGCTGGCAGGTCTCCCGGTCTGCCAGACATAGAGCTGCGGTAGACCTGCGCTGCTGTCCGTGTGTGTGCGTACTGGGCTGCGTTCCGCTTGGTCGGACCAACGATGAGGTTTTTTTCCATCTGTCTCACCGTGGCTGGCATCGTTTCGTTTCTGACTTTTCCCAGACGCTCGAAGAGGAGGCTTGTCCCTGATTGATATCGATGATGAAATGAAAGCTCTCTAGAACTCGGTGAGAATGTGTATACTGTCGTTGTCGACGAAGAATGGGAACTGGCGTTGGGAGTTTTCCCGCGTAAAACCTGATTCTCGGAAGAAGAAGAAAAACATATTGATCGGGTAGACGCTGTGATAAGGCGTTCGCGGGTCAATTGAACAACGAATGTCTTTATTTTATGAAATATAAATCGGTCTTGACGCTTTTAGATCTCGTGTAGACGTTCCACACAAAATAGTGTCGCCAGTGACAACGGCGAGTTCTGGAGAGGAAGCAGCAGCCATGATGACACAGTGTGCTGGTATTCTTCCGCCACGCAGGTCGTACTGGTGCAGGGGCACTTCGCGTCCTACCTGCCGCTCTGCAGTCGCAACGAGCCCGTGTTCCTGGCCACGTGTACACCTGTCGCCATGCCCGAGACCCGAGAGTGCGTCGTCCAGGGATCGACGTCAGTCTTCACCTCCATCCACTCTATGGACATGAAGTTCCTACACCTTGACCGCAAGTGAGTAGCACATTATTTTTTTTTATTTAGCAGGTTGGTATTGGATTGATGCACGCATATGCGACGGTTCCAGCTTTTATTTTAAACGAGGGCGAAAAAATCTCGTGATACTGGAAGCATGTTTCTACGATGAATCGACAATGAGCTCAGGATTGAGCTCCAGTATGCCCGCTGAACTAAGACACGAGGTCCGGGACATGAACGCCCTGGTACTATGGAGGCATCTCTGAACCAAGCACCGGACCTTAAACTCTGGACTAAGGTGTGGGTCAAATACCAAGCCTTGGTCCAGAGTATACTGTGGACCTAGATTATGGTCTGGACCATGCTTCTAAAACTTCCTCCTGGTCCCTCTGTCCTTGCCGTCTCCAGCTCTATAATATGTCAGTATACTGTGGACCTAGATTATGGTCTGGACCATGCTTCTAAAACTTCTTCCTGGTCCCTCTGTCCTTGCCGTCTTCAGCTCTATAATCTGTCAGCCACATGCCATCAACACGTGCGCGTAGATAAAGTTAAGCATTTTGCTTCTCATCAGATAATTGTTACCTGTTAAGATGGCTGACTTTCCGAAAACAATACTCGCTCACTCGGCCGATCGCATGCTTCACGACGAAAAGCCGCGGATATGGCAACAGAACGTTCACAAATGCTGAATAGCATGAAGCGGTGCCTTTCGTGTTTTTATTAATATTTATTTTAAGGTTTTTTTTAGGCTATCTTCGGCTAATATTGGGTACTAGTGTAGATGTTATTCGGCCTATCGTCCGGGTTGTTTAATATAATAGCTGTTATTATTTCGTGGTGCTGAAATCCTGCAACCGCTGAGGATATATAGCATAACACTTGCTTGTGAAACGTAAAGCGCGTCGACGACATCCTATACTTTTACTCTCAATCCTAAATCATTCCAATATTCGCCTTTTACGCGCTTGCCATCATTGTTCTATAAGGCTGTAACGCGTTCTGCAGCAAGATGTCCGTCCTTGTCCGTCCTTTTTGTTTACAGTGCAGTCCACTTATAACGATATTGAGAAAACCGCAAAATCCAATCGTTATAGCCGATTATCGTTATATCTGGATCAAATCAAATCTAAAAAAATAGCGATCAAATCTAAAAAATTTGATCGCTATAAGCGATATATCGTTATATCTGGTATCGTTATAAGTGGATTACACTGTATTCTTTCTGTTACAAGTCAGCATGCACAGTAGCTCTTTTTTTCTTTCCCCAGAAGATCACGTAGCGCACGTATCCACACTCCAGTGACTCTATATTTTCTTACCTGCGTGCCAAGCGCTGAAAAGGTCTACACTCATCGCCAGCCTCTGAGTGGCTACAAGGCTGGACGCCGAACACCACAGAGCCAGACGAAACAGTCAGCGTCGAAACGCCCTTTGAATTAGTTCTCGAAAGGGGTCTCCTAAATCACCACACATCCGCAACATCCTTCAAGAATGTATGCCCTCATGGGTGGTCCTCCCGATACAAACCTACCCTTCAACGACTAAACTAAAAAGAAACGCACGGAATCGATGGACGCAATCGGCCGCGTGAATGCGTAATGAGCGATTCGGCGCCGCTGATTCGCGCGCCGGTCAAATTGGTCCTCGCATATCTCGCACGCGCCCCGTTCTTGCCCACAGATGCGTTCTGCATGCCCAAGAGGCCCTTCCCCCGCTATTCTGGGCCGCGGCGCAGAGAGCGGCCAGGCGTCTCTGCTGGCAGCGACCCTTTGTTCTCGTTATAGGAAACCGTTTCATTTGGAAGTTTGCAGCATGCAGCAGCAGCATCGGTTGGCCTATATATCTTCGCCACAAGCAGGACTTCAATACCACCGTCACGTTCGGAGGAGGGCTCCCTTGCAGCAGGAAGTCCCGTGAGCGGGAGAAGGGTCTCACGAGGGACACGCATGTGTACCGTGTTCGAAAGCGCGGGGGGAATAGGAGGGCCACAGCACGATCTGCTGACCGACTGGACCGGCCCTCGGGCCATCGTCCAATTAAGGCGGGAAGGGGCGAAGCTCCATACGGACGTGGATGTGTTTGGCGGTAAAGAGCCTACAATCGGCCATCATGGCGTCGTGGAAGCGTTTCTTCGGCTCTTATTCCGAGCTCTGCGTGTATATACGTACGTGCTTGGACACCCGTGAAGAACTGCTATAGATAGACCATGGGTGAAATTTGAGAGGAAGTGCGCTTTAGGGCCAAGCATGTGCTTGATGTGAGCTGAAGCTAGTGGGTCCTGGCTAATGATGGCGGTGTGCTGGGGAAAGGCTCAACTGCGTGATGTACGTTAAAGACCCCGGGCTAGCAGTGGTAGACTGCACTAACTAATTTTCTCACCTACGGCGAAGACACCAAACACCCATTGGGGCCGATTAATTTGCCGGTGTCTAAGCGTACAATTAACATAAATATTACCTCTGTCGTGTTTAGAACGCTAAGCTGCTTTTTATGAGCCCATCTGCGAAGCTCCGCCTCTTAAAACTACGGAAATGTGCGATCGTGTTTCGCTCTCGTGTGTTGCAGCTTTTGTGAGTTCGCTCGCCTTTTCTATAGTTCAGCATACACAGTTAAGCTCTAAGGGAGATGTACTATTCAAGAACAGAGCAACCGATTTGCGCTATTCTTATAGTGTCAGATGATCATTTGATGTCAAATGATTGTGAACGTCCCGACCAGCTAAGACGACGAGGGTCGGGAACAAATCTCTGTCGCCCGGCTTGGGCGATAGAAACGGAGATAAAATCTATAAGGATGCAAAGGAAAGCGAAAGAAAGAACACCTCACAAATATGGCGTGCCCAAAGAAAAAAATGCAGCGGCGTCATAATTCAGCCGTCTAATGTCGAGGTCTATTGTGGAACAATATCATAAAGGCACCATGAAGCAACTTTGTGTGGTAATACCGCAGGGAGGTAACTTTTCGGTTAGACAAAAAGGACTGCGGCAATGCTTTCAAGCACGCTCCCTCACGGCCTAGTAGAAACATATATATGTGCCGATGAGAAAGTCGAACACTGGTGTGTTATATCCGAGCGTACCTAACTTTTTTTATTCATAATATAATTATTATTCCCTAGTATAGCGTATGTATGTAGTGCACCTATGGAACTGCCCAGATATTACTTAAGCACCTCCCATAACACCTGAAGCTCCCTATCGTTTTTAAGTGAACCGAGTAGTGCTTTAGCCCTTTGTTTTCTTTTTGTGATTTCATCGTGATTTGGGAGACAAGTTGTTCCGGCACCCTTGCGATGGCCCAATTTTACTGTAGTAACTGACAACCTAAAAAGCTCAGCGTTCGGCGTATTCTGTCCATGCTACATGCTTCAAAATTCGTTTTTCTTTTTCGAACGTTTTTATTAGCTAATGTCGCAGCCTCATTGGCAATGGAGCCATAATAAGAGGCACGCAAGATTCTACGCGCCCTGCTTCCCTTGAGTTGTCGGTCAATGCACGCCAACGAAGGGCAAACACTGATTGGAAACATTCCGAATACACACCGCTAGGTTTTTATTTTATTTATTTATTTATTTATCCACTAATGGGCGTCATTATTTAGCGGTCAGAAAACTTTGTTGGCGAACAAACAGTACTTCTCAAGATTAGCGCGGAACCTCGGTTGCCATGCAGCCACGTTTCAAAAGCTATAGTCTAGCCCACCGTGTATGCAATATGCTTTGTTTGGGCGCCAGTTCGGCAACCGTGGGCATGCCGTAGCAATGCTTGCCTGTCAGATGATCTAATTCTGCTCACGTCAGCAGCATGGATGGCGGAGCCAGCAGAGGCCGTGCTTGCGAACGTCATTAGGAAGTATTCAGGTGTCCTCGTCAGCAGGAAATCTGGGTAAAACGAGGTATCGCGTGTTGTGAACAGTTCTGATGGCGCAAAAAGGAATCCAAACAAAAGCTTGCTTCGGCAGCACGCTCTTGACCACGGAGCACACAGCTATGGCCGCCAACGTCTGGCAACCCCTATGATCCTCGCTTCGCGTCTTTGTATCTGATACACGAATACTCCACTCTGCACCTCAGCGCGGCTACGCTTGGTTCAACTAAAGAATCGTCGACTCACTTAAAAAGAAAAAAAAAATTGGCAGGATCCTCCCACCGTGGAGGAAAACGAAACTAAAGATGGCCACGCTTGACCGCGATCTGACCACTCTCTCGGATGAGAGGCTCTATAGAAGAAAGCCGATGGACATTGACAAACGAGCCATGCATGTTGTCTACAGAGACGCGCACAAGAGGAAGCCATGGATTGGAACACATGGCGAGCTAGCGTTTTACAGCTTGTCTCTAATCAAGAACAGACTCGGAAAAAAAAATAAAAAAACGGGGGCGAGGAGATGGCGAACCTATAATGGGCCGCCTGGACTCCAGCGCGATTATACCCTGCCTCCGGCACGTCCCGAGCTGCTAGCTTCGTTTACCGTCATTCCCTTTAGTGCGTGTAACGTCTAAGCTACGTGGCATTTTCGCTTCGCGTGAAATGTGCAAGAGCGGCCGCTTTCGAGCTTCGTTTCTTCAAGATGAATTGTGTCGGAGCGTATTCTCGTCCGACTGTTTTGTAACCTGAACCAGCAGGTCGTATCCGACCATCCGCAGTTTTCCTTGCCGAATATGTGATAGAATGATTGTTTGGTGAAAGTAGCCTCCCAGATGACGCCATGTAGCGTTTCAATCTTAGCCCCTGACAGGAGGCCTGAGACGCGAGCCATCTGGACCCATGGTCGTGCCTCGTTCACCTGCCACGTGACTCCCCTACTGCAAGATGCAGGCGGATTAGTCAAATATGTGAGCTAAGAGCTCACATATTTGACTAACCGTCGGAAAAGAAAAAAAAAAGCTCGAGGTACACTTAAGCACTTATGAGTTGTGAATGCGAAAGCAGGCAAGCCGCTCGTCCGCTCCCTTTTTCGTCTGCTGCGTACTTTTCGTCGCCGATCAGCGCGCGTGCTCCCCTGGTGACCTTGGACGCTCCGTGCCGACGGCG